ATATATATATATATATATATATATATATATATATATATATATATAATCGCCTCGGCAACGTTGCATCGCCTCGGTGACATCGCCGAGCCTTTTTCTATTTTATATATATATATATTAATATTATTATTCGTTCCGCCTGGTAATGGGCGGCGGTCCGCGTACTAGTATACCGGACTAGTACGTACCGCCCATACCGGGTGGTATTATTCGGTATTGCTTACCTTGTGTCATATCATATGCAATTGCAGATAAAATAAGAAAGATCCGCTAATGCCCAATAGCTTGGGTGGTTGGCATTGGAAGCACTTGTTTCCTCCTGCCCTTGGTGGTGGATGACTACCTACAAAGACATTGTTGTTGGAATTCTTTTAGTAGAACCAGGTCAGGGTTACCATAAATGTGAGTAGACAACCCAAAGGCTCAAGTTGTGGGCAAAAACCAATAGATGTCTCCCGACTCTTTCATTCCTTAGCAATGTGGGACTAACCTCTAACTCATGTTATCTTGATCTCAAATGCAATGAAATTTTCATTCAGTTTTTAAACTGTTCTATAAAGTTAATAGGTTATTTTAAAGTTTATTCCAAACAGCCTCAAACAAATATGCATATTGACAATTTCTAAAGCCAAAAAGTTATCATGTCATGAATGCTCAAGAAAAAAAGAAAGTGTAAGGTGTAAACAACCTGAACAAATCTATAAAGGCCAGGAATTGCCATAAGATCAGCCCCCAAAAGTTTTAGACCAAAGTCAACATGTGGCTGCAAAAGAAAACATTCTGAATGGTTACACATCTTGCCAATAGCTTACCAATGAGAGATTCATTAAGTACGTCAAGTGAAAAGTTTGTTTTTATTTTCTCACACACCTTGTCCATGAGAGACACCAAGATTTTTGCAAAACAAGGAAAGCTAGGGACCAACGGCTTTAATGTAATGCGTGGAGTGGCAAAGATTTGCAAATCCACCACCTGAAAATCTCAAACTGCCAAAATGTTAACAAATTGGCTAACTGTGCTTGTGACTTCAACATCACCCTCTGTTGCAAAACATAAACTGCATGATGGATCTACCAACAAAAAGGTATACATTAATGACCTGTGCAGTCAATTTTAATCCATAGGCTTTCACAACAACGACGACATTAGGGTTCCCAGCCCACTTCAGTGATGGTTCCATAATGAGCTCCTTCTCTTCTGTAATGTACACTTTCATTCCTGGCACAGGTTCAAACGTAGATGCACATTATTGGACAACATTACAGAAAATCAGTAGATGCACAAAACCAGGAATACAACTTGAATCATGCAGTAAGCAAAAACTATTGGAGAGCATAAAAGAGAAAAATATTGGAAATCTCAATAAATAATGTGCATCACAAAATTCATCAGCAAATAGATGTACCAAAATCATATATAAGATTCACACAAGTGCTTACCTTGAAAAGTAGGTGGCAGTGAACCAAGAGTGAAGGTTTCAAATTCAACTGAATCGAGTTTATACTTTACGGTATTGTCAGCAATTATTGGATCTGCAATTTGTTTTGCAGTTCTGCAGATAGCCTTGTAGAGCAAAAAACATTAATATGGCAGCAAAAAAAGGCACTGTTTGGTACTTCATTCTCGGACATCAATCAGGACTCAGAATGAAGACATACCTTATTGAGATAAGGCCACATCATTTCTAGAAACTTATTTAACCAATCAATCTTCAAACAGCAAAATAGAAGTTATTTATTAAGAGGTAAAAATAAGAACTACAGTTTCTAGTACTCGAGTCCACAGTATCAGTTAAAATAAGCACGATACGTTACTCGATCATAGTCTGGATTCTTCACCCACAGGGGAATTTCAGGAAGCATCTGTTCCAATGATTTCGAATCATGTTCAACAAGTGGACGGATTTTAGGATCCTGATCAAGCAAAATTTCGTAAGAGAGTAACCACACGTCATCAGATTTTGATTTCTAAATTGTATTTAGAACCAATAAAAATGTAGAAGGCATCAAAGTGAATTACAAAAACTTCATGTTTTAATAAGCAAGGAAGCATAGAACCATTATCTTTGAACATCAGCTGCCTAGATTAACTGGACAGTCACCTGAGACAGGTAGCCCCCTTCACAACTGAGACAGTGTGAAGATTAAACACTATATGCAAGATCTAGGTGATCTGTCGAACTGTTTAGTCAGACGGTGGACCAGGTTCTCCAATATCCATGACATAACCCAATATATACAAGAGACTGAGATGTTATACACCTAGATACTTGCCTGGAGGTAATCAACTACAATCTTGTCTTTATTGACATGAAGAAGTAGCAGTTGGGAAGAATGAGAAAATAAATGCATTGACATTGGGCAGTAGAAACCACCATTGACAGAAAAATATCTAGCAATAGAGGATAATAACTTCTCCTTTCTTCTCTCCTTTTCATAATAAGTTTAGTTAATAACTTTTAACTAATTTGCAACATCCAGCTTCCAATTCTAAAGTTCCTCACTGTTTATGCATGCAAATTCCACAATGAGATAACAAAAGATATTATATATATTTATATCTTGCAAAAGGCAAACACACTTATCGTCCATATGACTTGGTCCAAAAGTTAATTGGGGTCCTAAAGTTGATCCTTGTTTTTCTACACTGTCCTGTCAATAACAACCTTGATTTAACATCACAGCAATTTCTAAACCTTCAAGAAAAAAACATCATAAACCCAAATCATCATCGTAAAGTTTTGATGTCAAGATACTCTCGCCCAACAGAAATAGCTGGTATTGTTTATGCAGATGTTTGACGAGCATGCCATAATCAACTAAGATACATAGAAATGTCAGATCCAACTTTTGCTTCCTACATTCAGAAAACTTCAACACAAATTGATCGTCGAACATTCCTTCCATTAAATTAACTAAAGAACACTTGACTGCAGTCAGAACAACGGATCAACAAGTCCCACTAACTTCTCAAATCCTCGAAACTCAGCAAAACAAGATCTCAATGCAAGTCATGCCATGTCAAATGTAGCATCACGAACAACAAGACCAAGTCTCACAGCAAGAGCAGGTAAAAACCTAGTTCAAACAGGCCACCACCAGACACAAGATCAGCCAAGCGGCGCCGTACCTTGACATCGGAGGGCTGGAAGTAGATGAAGAGGAAGTATCCGATGACGATCCCCGCCGACAGCCCCACGCCGAACCCACAGAGCCCCAACGCCGTGCTCACAAACCCCATCCCCCACCCCCTTCACATCAACAACAACCACATCATCAAATACCAAAAAGATATCCGTAGCAATAATAACAATCACAATAGATTTCTTACTAGCAGTCTTCCTGACGGAATCAAGGGTTAAGATGAGATTAAGATGGGAAATTAATAGAAAGAGAGAGCGAAGATTACCTTACCTGGAAAGCGCGGATTCCTGTCTTGAACTTGAGGTGTTCTTTACTTCCTGCTAATTGAGACAGTTGGGTGGAATGATGCGACGCGTTTGTTTGGGTTTGGAAGATGGGATCGAGTGCTCGGCTCGTCTTCCACTTGTTTAGGACTCGAGAGGAAGGAAGAGGGAGGGAGAATAATAAGAACGGGGGGAGCGTCGAGATCACCGTCCAAGCAAAAAAACGTTGATCGTGACGACGACGTGTCTCGATGTCTCGTCGGGACACGTCCCCGAAGTTTCAGATGCCGAAAACAAATAACTATTCGTACCCTCAAACTCTACCGCCACTGTGATTGGATGGTCTCTGTAGAGTCACCACGTTACGCTGAGAGGGTGAAAACGGAGTGCATCGTCTGAGCTCATAAAATCTACTATCTACTGCATTGACTACCGTATCTGTTGTCTTTTTTGCTTTGTCTTTAAATTCTAATATTTATTTTTTCGAAAAATGTAACAAGCAAGGATCGTTTGCCACGTGGCATGTGAGAGACTAAAACGTGTTCCTGTTGCAAATTTTCTAATCACTTTATTGTTGAAAAGAATTATTGATTTGGAATTGTGAAATGCAAAGTCTGTTTTATTATTTTCTACATGGATGGAAACTGATTTAGAGTCTTTATCTTTCCTACTTTTCTCAACTATTTGTTAGGTAATTAGCTAAATGCTATGGAATATGTTTGTCTTCTTTTTTTTTTTTTTTTTTCTTATATATTGATTTGTTTCTTTAACATTTAAAACTTTTAATTAGCATGCAAAAAAAGGGAAAATAAATTGGTTCTCTTGCTCTCTCTCTATTCAAAAAAAGGTTGGCTGCTAAAACCAACCTTTCTTTATCTATCGATCTGTTCTTTTTTATTTTTTTCTCTTTCTTCAGCTGCTGTTTAGGCCGAAAGAAGTTAGTCTCTTCAAGTTCATTTCTTGGGGTTATGAGTGGAGAACAAGTCTTAAGATGAAGCTTATGTACTTTTTCTTTTTTTCCTCATTTTATGTTTTAAAATAATTTTATCAATAAATCTTAACATTGATCTAACCTTATAATTCTTCAAGTTCTATTCTCGGATCTAAATAGAAAAAGAAAGCAAATTTAGTATAAATAGATCATCAAAGAATAATGATACTACCGCGATTCCGATTCAAATCAAAGGTTTTGATCCAAGCAAAAATTAGGTTATAAGGATTAGAATTTGAAATCGAAACTAGAACCAATGGTTTCAATTGATTTATGAACCGATCAAAAATAATTTTAAAATCCTAAATACCCTTGTTGACGAATTTCTCTTTTATAATAGTTTAATAAATGATAAATTAGAGTGAATTTAAAAATATTTAAAAATTTAAAATAAGTAATTTTGGTTCAAAACCATATCCATAATCATAATTATTGATTTTGAAACTAGAACTATAACTGTTTTGGATCGATTCGATTCCGATTCTAAATTCGATAGAATTAAAATCATGCATTCAGAAACTATTATCGAATTAAAATCATGCATTCAGAAACTCTGGTAAGTCCATTGATACCTCTTGGATATAGTTTTTTCTTCTTATCTTTACTTTTTTGTTTAATCTATCAATTAGATAACAACTTAAGCATGGATTTTTTTTATAATATTAATATATATTTATATTTATATTCTCTAGATGATGGATTACTAAGAAAGATTTATATATAACAAAGGGTGTCTAGATGCAAATGCTTTTATCTATTTGTTTTCATTTCTTGTTTGCACTATGACTTGTTTATGTACTCATATAAAAACAATTGTTTTTAATTTTTGTAAGATGCAATGATTTAATCATGGTTTGTCTTGAGTTAACTTAAAAGAGACGAGAGGATTTGAGACTTGGTCAACAAAAGTTCCAGCTCATCCCAATGCGTTGACAAATCCGTCGCCTTCCCTCTGCAAGAAGATGGGGGAGGAGAGAGAGAGGAGCGGGCGGGAGAGAAAAGAGGAGGCAGCGGAATGCACCACCGCACCCTCCTCCCCTCTCCCTCGGACCGAAACACGCCCATGCAATGGCAAATGGCTATTCCTGTAAGCCTTTGCCTGCCTTCTCGGGGGCTCCCCATGGCCACAGGCAACCGAAACCTTCTATAATATCCGCTCCCCCTCTCTCCCTGGAGTGGGAAACCGTGTCTCTTGATCTCATCCCTCTCACACTCAACAGCAACACGAGGAGCACGCCCATCCAGCTATCAGTCTGTCATCGCATCTGCATCTGCATCTGCGTCGGTCAGAGATCGGGTTACACCATCGATCCCATTCCTGGAGCAGAAAGAAGAGCTGAAGAACCATGGCGGTGTCGCCGGAGACCACGGCGCGGACTCTCGTCAGTCTCTTCCTCCTCGCCGCCATCGCCAGCACCGGCGCGGCCCACGGCGGCGGCAGCGTACAAGGAGTGACTTATGATAGCCGGTCACTGATCATAAACGGAAGGAGAGAGCTTCTCTTCTCGGGGTCGGTCCATTACCCTCGAAGCACACCCGAGGTGACGAACCGTCTGCATCGACTCGCATGGGTTAACTTTGAAGCGCTGACGAGAGTTCGTTCTTCTCTTGATATTTTGGTGACCAGATGTGGCCGGACATCATCCAGAAGGCTCAGCATGGGGGACTGAACGTGATCCAAACCTACGTCTTCTGGAACATCCACGAGCCTCTCTACGGGCAGGTAAGGTGTCGTTCCTGTAGCAAAAAGAAGGTTTCAAACATCGAAGGGAAGCGCTGAGAGTTGAATGCTGCTTACCACAGTTCAATTTCCAAGGGAGATATGACTTGGTGGGGTTCATAAAGCTGGTGCAGAAGAATGGGATGTATGTGACCCTCCGACTCGGTCCCTTCATCCAAGCGGAATGGAATCATGGGTGTGTAACAGGGAGCTCTAGCTCTGGTTTTCCGCATCTGGTTTTTTGACGTGCTTCTCTGATCATGGCAGAGGGTTCCCGTTCTGGCTTCGGGAGGTCGCCAACATCACCTTCCGAACAGACAACGAACCCTTCAAGGTAGACTGGAAACCCTGGTCATGGTCTCTTCTGCTCCAGCAAGACACTTAATGTGGTAGTTTTGTGGGTTCATGCAGCATCATATGGAAAGGTTTGCCAGGACGATTGTGCAGATGATGAAGGACGAGAAGCTATTTGCCTCTCAAGGAGGTCCCATCATCCTATTACAGGTTCACCCATCTTGTTCCCTGCAGTCCCTGCTGCATATATCATATCAGGAAGAAGAAGAAGAAGAAGAAGAAGAAGAAGAAGAAGCTCGTGTCTCTTTGCCTCAAAGTGCTAACCTTGCTGTTCTTGCGACAGATCGAGAACGAGTACAACAACGTGGCGCGAGCATTCGAGGGCGGCTCAAAATACATTCAGTGGGCAGGCAACATGGCCGTGGGGCTCGGCGCCGGCGTGCCGTGGGTGATGTGCAAGCAGAACGACGCTCCCGGTCCCGTGGTATTGTTACGTTGGATTCAGCTGCATGAAACTTATTAGATTGATACCGGACAACAACAGTCATAATATGCTGATCCGATCGCCATTGTTTCACACGTAGATCAATGCATGCAACGGGAGGAACTGCGGCGATACCTTTACAGGGCCGAACCATCCGAGCAAGCCTTCCCTGTGGACTGAGAACTGGACTGCTCAGTGAGTAGCAAATCGTCCCTTCGGAAGTTTGAGGCTTTCTTGGCACTACCAAACGCTCTCTGGTTGTTTCAGGTACAGGGTCTTCGGTGATCCACCATCTCAGAGGTCAGCAGAGGATATTGCATACTCCGTAGCACGCTTCTTCTCAAAGAACGGCACCCTCACGAACTACTACATGGTATGGAACTGCTGCTTCCCTGAGGACATGTCGGAAGGCAGCGCGATCTTCTAACCTTCGCTTCTCCTGTTCAGTATCACGGAGGAACCAACTTTGGAAGAACCGGCGCGGCTTTTATGATGACGAGATACTACGACGAAGCTCCCCTGGATGAATACGGTAGGCAGACTCCTCGGAAGCTTCGATCTGGGTTTCTCGTCATCGCACTGACATCCGTTCTTCATGCTGATCCAGGGATGGAGAAGGAGCCCAAATGGGGGCATCTGAGGGACCTGCACCATGCACTGAAGCTGTGCAGGAAGGGTCTGCTCTGGGGGACGCCGTCCGTCCAAGCCTTTGACAAGGGTTTTGAGGTAAGAAGAAGATCAAACACTGTCAGCATCCAGTTCAAGAGATCACCTTCGAAGATGAGATGAGTTTGTGGAGTTGCAGGCCAGATTGTATGAGATACCGGAGAGCCATGTATGCGTTGCCTTCTTGACCAACACCAACAGGAAAGAAGACGGCACGGTGAGCTTCCGAGGCGAGGAGTACTATCTCCCCCGCCGCTCCATCAGCATTCTGCCGGACTGTAAGACTGTGGTGTTCAATAGCCAGAGAGTTAAGTATAACTTCTACCCCTTCTTCGTTGGAGAACAGAGGATGTTGCAGGTGTTGTAACTCGTGCTCGTTTGCCACAGGTCAACGCTCAGCACAATGCGAGGACGTTCGATGTAGCGAAGGAATCCAGCATGAAGAACCAATGGCAGATGACGAGCGACCTCATCCCGACGCTTCGCCATGCCTCGGTTATATCCAAAGGGCCCCTGGAGTTGATGAACTTGACCAAGGACACCACGGACTATCTGTGGTACACAACAAGGTAGGTGTTTGATGAAATGCCGTCGGGCTTGATTGCTGGCTAAATTCTACTTGAATTGGCACTCATTGTTGCTTCCCCTTTCCATGCAAATGAAGCTTCAAGTTGGATGCTGACGATCTACCTCGGCGACAGGACATCCGACCTGTGCTTCAAGTTTCAAACCTCGGCCATGCAATGCATGCGTTCGTCAATGGCAAATACATAGGTATCTTAGCTTTACAGTGTTCGATTCCACTGGTCGGTTCATCCGAAGCCACAGCATGATGCGTCCCAGTGGTGTTCGTGTCCGGTACTTGCTGCAGGATCTGGGCATGGAACAAAGATCGAGAAAAGTTTTGTCTTCCAGAAGCCAATGGATCTAAATGCAGGAACCAACCACATCGCAATCTTAGGCTTGACTGTTGGATTGCCGGTAAGAACTTGAATCGCCGTAGAGATTGTACTCCCGTGTGTTATAATGATTCAACTTCGATCCTTCCGCCATGAAGGATAGTGGAGCGTACTTGGAACACAGACTTGCCGGCGTTCATACCGTCGTCATCCAAGGTCTCAACGCCGGAACGTTGGATTTGTCGCACAGCGTGTGGGGGCACCAGGTGCTTGTTGTTTTGTCACAGAGAAGAACTGGACAGGTCCTGTAACGACATAAGAACATTTCTCATCCCCACAGGTTGGATTGACCGGGGAGACGTTGGGCATCTTCTCTGAGAAGGGAGTGAATGCTGTCAAGTGGGAGGAGGCTAAGAGTGATACCCCAGTCATGTGGTACAAGGTGAGGAGGAAGTCATCTTTGTTCCATGTGTTCTGATGCTGATTGCAATAAGCTTCGTTCCAGAGATACTTCGATGCTCCATCCGGACATGATCCAGTTGCTTTGGAAATGAACTCGATGGGGAAAGGACTGGTGTGGATCAACGGCGAAAGCATCGGTCGTTACTGGATCTCCTACCTCAATCCTCTCGGGAAGGCTTCTCAATCAGTGTGAGTAATGTGGCAGTGTCGTCCTAAAACTGCGGCCGCTTTGGAAGAGTGCAGTTCTGAGAACTTTGCATCCACGGTTTCAGGTATCACGTGCCGCGGTCCTTCTTGAAGCCGAAGGACAACCTCATGGTCGTCTTCGAGGAGCACGGCGGGAAGCCGGAGGACATACAGATCATGACGGTGAAGAGGGACGACATCTGCACCGTCGTCTCCGATCTCCACCCCGCACACGTCAGGTCATGGTCGAGGGAGAACAGCAAGATCCGAAGCGTCGATGACGACGCGAAGCCGGAGGCTCGGTTGAAGTGCACGGGGAAGAAGGTGATCCAGTCCATTGATTTCGCAAGCTTTGGGAACCCCGGCGGCATGTGCGGCAACTTCACCACAGGGAGCTGCCATACGCCGCAGGCCAAGGCTGTAGCCGAGAAGGTAAGGCTCTCTGCTGACATTGATACCTGCACGGCTTCTGCGATACCGAGCTGACTCATCTTGTTCTGCCATGGTAGGCCTGCTTGGGGAAGGAGTCCTGCGTGTTGCCGGTGGCGCCGGAGGCATACGGTGCTGACGTTGGGTGTCCGGAGACGATGGCCACTCTTGCAGTGCAGGCCAAGTGCGTCCCGAAGAAGTAGTACGCGGCTTGAGTTTGATTCGTTCTTTGTTAGACCAGATGTTGGAAGGGGATTGAGTTGAATCTCTCCTCGAGCACTAGATATAGAAAAAAGGAAGGAGGACGAGGTTGATTTGTACGAGGAGGAGAATGGATGTACGCAATCTTATCTTACCTTCGTTTTTAATAATGGATCTGATGATTTTGTGAGAAATGAAATCTGCATCCAGTGACGTAGATAATGGCATTTCTGGATGGATCTCCACTTTTGTTGATGACACTGTAGACTCGGAACATCATCACTGTTCTTCTTTGAGCATTTTGCACAGAAATCTCAAGCTGATGTCAAGTTAAATGCTCAATAAATAGCGTGTGGATGTTGGACACAACATGCGCGAGTAACTCTTATTGACTCGGGTAGTATCAATGATCTGAAAGACCCAAGTAAGTCGAAGGAAGTCAGAGAAGTTGTACAGGAAAAGTAGCAATAAATCAGCAAACTCCAAAAACCAAAAAGATAGTTTGGAATGAATCAAATTTTTGTGACAGTTGTACAGTGAACTCTTTGAGGATTAAAACAAAAAAAGAAAGCACTAAATTACAAAAAGCTGACTGGAAAATGGAACAAAAAACAAAAATGCCAATACTATTCAAGAAAAGATGACAGAAATAAACCCTGTCAACCACTTGCGTACCCATAGATGCCAATACCTTTTGGGACTGGACATGTTCACCACATCTAAAATCTTTTACTTTTAAACAGGCTTTTCTAAATTAGGAAGATATATGAGAATAGGTCCCTTAAATAAGGATACAAAACCCTTGAAAGCTTGACCATGAAATTGAATTCAGTATAAGAAGAAGGATATTTTTTTATAAATCTAGTTCCACAAGCTCTTTTTTGTAGCTAGTAAAAATATACTATTTATAACTTTTATAGTTTCTATATTTTTTTTTTATCATTTATAACTTAATATTAATAGAATGAAAAATAAAATTATAAAAAATAAGAAATGCACACTTCAATTAGTGTTATATGATATTGTATATTTATACACGGTGAAAAAAAAGATTTTTCTCAACTAAGCAGTGAGATTTTCTCGTCTCATCTGCTATGCAGTTGAGAAAATCTCTTTATCAAATATACGAAACAAATTTGATCAATTTTGTTACTTTCTTATATATCAATTTACATTGCAGCAGATACTACCACATTTACCTGATCTAGCTAAGCTACAGACAAGCACAAAAACATGAAACATCGGAAAAACAAATGTGAAGTCACTTGTTTAAGGTGTCCACTGGCACCCACCCATAAAATAAAATCAGTAAAGCGTATGTTGGTTTTCCAAGTTCAAAAAATAGATTAAAAAAAGTAAAATTATTAACTACCAAATAAGAGAGCATTCTAGAAACAAGAACAATCGAAGTTACCCTAATGTTGAACATTTTCTGTAGCTTCCTCCTCACACAGCATGTGTTGTAACAACAGCATGACAAGTTATATTACATGCTTCTGCTGATGCTGTCGAGAAGAAACAAAGTCTAATATTTACACATAATCTATTTCTTAGAAGCTTCTACCAAATTATACACACAAAAACAGACTAGTTAGAAATTTAAGAAACTACATAATAGAATGTCAAGTATCGAGTTCACATTAAGTCATACCACATGATTAACAGCGAGAGTGAAGTGAAATGAAAATACAAGACAAACGTAAGTTTCCATCCTCAACAAGGACGAAATGACAGATGCTCTAATGCATATATGATACTCTTTTCGGATATGCCAATCTTTATGTAGATGTGTGTGTGTGTGTGGCACTCTTATTATGGTGCTTTTCAAACTGAACTCACATCGATTAATTCTTACGTTTAACATATCAAAGCTAAACTGATATCTTAGAAAATAAAAATAATATTTTTCTATAATCAAAAGATAATTTATTTTGTTAGTTTGGCAAGTCTAATAGTCCCACATCAGGAAAATCAGGTTTTTTTATCTCATATTAGAATTATAAATAAGGGTCTGAGCTTTGAAGTCAGATGCACTACAAGAAAAACTTAAGTATTTGCTTTGGGTTTAAGTCCACACTCAGTTAAATAGTTTGGGCTTATAGTTTGGGTTTTTTCTTATTTAGTATTTTCGGGTGTTTTATGGCTTACAAACATCTTCCTAAGGCATTTGTAATTGTCCGTTTTATAGTAGTGATTTGCTCCTCTTTCGTCCGTGGATGTAGGTCAAAGTCAATTGACCGAACCACATAAATCTGGTGTTCTTGTCGCTTTTATTCTTTTCGCTTTATTGTCTTTGTTGGGTTGCCAAAATTATCATTTGGTAAATTTCCTAGGGCTAGCTCTAACAAACTAGTATCAGAGCCTGGTTTCGGGATCTTTTGACAACGATGATAATAACAAAGATTGTTGTCGAGAAATTCGACAGAAATGTCAACTTCGGCATGTGGCAACTCAAGATGGAGACCATTCTGGTTCAAGACGGAGTTGATTTGGCACTACAGGGAGCTAAGAACATTCTAGATGGTACGTCAAAGGAAGATCTTACGGGTATGGATAAAAAGGCTTGATCCAACATTATTCTAAATCTCTCTGACAAGGTTTTACGGGAGGTAGCTACGGACACTATGGCTAAGAGCATGTGGGACAAGCTTAAAGTCTTATATATGAAGAGGACAGTAAAAAATCGTCTCTACTTAAAGTAGAGTTTGTATATGTTTCGAATGATTGAAAGTATATCTATACTCTCACATCTTGATAAATTTGATTCCTTGGTTATAAATTTGGAGAATATAGATGTAAAAATTGATGATGAGGATAAGGCCTTGTTACTTTTGTGTTCTCTTCCCTAATCTTTTAAGCATTTCCGTGATACTATGATTTATGGAAAAGAAATAATTTCGTATCAGGAAATTAAATCTGCACTAAAATCTAAGGAGCAGATAGATAGAGATATCACTATGGAAAGCAGAGCGAATCAGGCTGAGGGTTTGGTTGTTAGGGGTAGAATGGATAAAAGAGAATTTGACAGTAGTAGATCTAAATCTAGATCTAAATCCAGACATAGAAATTTGGAATGCAGATATTGTCATAAAATGGGGCACATTAAGGCTGATTGCTTTAAATTAAAAAATAAATTAAAGCAAAAGGAAAAAAATATTGAGAAAGCTACTGAATCCGCTGAAGCTAGTGTAGCAGCTGATGAGAATGTTGGAAATATTTTCTCTGCTATTGATGACAGGACGAGGTCTAAAAATGAATAGATTTTAGATTTAGGTTGTTCTTATCACATGCGTCATAATAGAGATTTGTTTTCCACACATGAATATTGTAATGGTGGAATTGTTTTGATGGGCAATAATACAGCATGTGATGTTGTTGGTAGAGGAACAATCCGAATTAAAATGCATGATGGTATTGTGAGGACGCTCACTAATGTTAGACATGTTCCTAATTTAAAAAAGAATCTCATATCTTTAGGCACCCTAGAGGCCCTTGGGTGTAAATACATAGCTGAAGGTGGAGTTATGAAAATTTCTAGAAGTACTATTGTTGTTATGAAAGCTTGTAGGTCTGGTAGCTTATATATTTTGCAGGGAACTACTATCACAGGCTCAGTTGTAGTCTCATCATCATCATTGTCTGATTCTGACATCACCAAATTATGGCATATGCGTTTGGGTCATATAAGTGAAAAAGGTTTGAGCATATTGAGCAAAAGGGGTCTACTTTGCGGACAGAGTACTGGGCCACTATATTTTTGTAAACATTGTATTTTTGGAAAACAGAAAAGAGTTAGCTTCAATTCTCTAGCAGTTCACAAAACGAAAGGTACTCTCGACTATATTCATTCAGACCTTTGGGGTCCAACTCATGTTCAGTCTAAGGGTGGTGCTAGGTATATGTTGACTTTCATTGATGATTATTCCAAGAAAGTTTGAGTTTATTTTTTGAAGCATAAAAATGATATTTTTCTAACCTTTAAACAATGGAAGACTTTGATTGAGAAGCAAACAGGTAAACAAATTAAGTGGCTTCGAACAGATAATGACATGGAATTTTGTGAAGGTGACTTTGATGAATTCTGTAAAAATGAAGGAATCGTTCGGCATCGCACTGTTAGGATGATGCCTCAACAAAATGGTGTGACCGAACGTATGAACAGAACACTCTTGGAGAGAGCAAGGTGTATGATCTCAAATGCAGGGTTGACAAAGGACTTTTGGGCAAAGGCGGTTAATATGACATGTTACGTTGTCAACCGCGCTCCATCTGTGGCACTTAACTTTAAAACTCCGGAGGAAGTTTGGTCAGGTACTCCTGCTGATTACTCTTATTTAAAAAATTTTAAGTGTCCAGCATACATGCATATAAATGAAGGAAAATTAGAGCCTCGAGCTAAAAAATGTATTTTCCTTGGGTATGCTTCTGGGGTGAAAGGATACAGATTATGGTGTTCTGATATCAAATCACCAAAATTTGTAATCAGTAGAGATGTTACTTTTGATAAATTGTCTATGTATCTTCTAAAGAAGAATTTACTAATTGTACAAATGATAATGCGCAGAAGCAGGTGGAGCTTGAGATTAATAGTTCTAATTCTTTTCAATCTAACTCTTCTTCTCAAAGAATGCTAGTAGATGGTCCGGAATCTACTAACAAAGATGATCTAGAGGAAGAGCAATATTCCATAGCTAAGGATAGACTACGGAGAAATATTCGACCACCACAAAGATATGCAAATTTGTTTGCATATGCTTTGTCTGTTGTAGAAGAAACAAGTGAAGTTGGTGAACCTATTACCTATTCAGATGCAGTTTCTTATGATAATTCCGCTAAGTGGTTGATTGCGATGAATGAAAAAATAGAATCTCTTCATCAGAATAGAACTTGGGATCTTGTGAAGCCGCATTCGGGTAAGAAAATTGTTAGATGCAAATGAGATACTATTGCTGAGGGAAAGGTCATTGTTCAGAAAATTCATACGAAGGACAATCCAACTGATATGTTTACGAAGCATCTTCCGATTTACAAGTTTAAGCAGTGCTTGGACTTGGTTGGTGTTCATTGTTGGTGATTGCCCATTGGAGCTTTCGTGAAGAAGGTGGAGCAAGTTTTGTTGGGACATGCTAATGTGGAGATTTGTTAGTTTGGCAAGTCTCATAGTCCCACATCGGGAAAA